TGTGTGTGTGTGTGTGCGCGCATGTGTGCCCATTCACTGCTTCCAGTAAATCATCAGGTTACTACAAAATTCAATTTTCCTGCTCAGCCTCTGTGCCCCCATCTTTAACTATCACCCCACTATTCTAGTCCCGTTTGGCAGGCCAGACAAGCCCTCAGGGATGTTGAGGTCTGTTCATGACTCTCTCTCTCTCTCTCTCTCTCTCTCTCACACACACACACACACACACACTCCCTAAAGGTGAGAGAGGGTTACACTTCATTGTCATCATCAGTGCAGAGCCAGTGAAAATCTTTGCTGAAGTACTTGGAAACAGTGGTGGGAAACCAGTAGGGGTGAGCAGAGGTGGGGGGTAGTCCTTCGGGACCCTTACATTGGCAGGGCCTGTATTGTCACTCACCGTGACCTGTTCACCTTAACTATTGGTGTTTTAAGATTAAGAACAGATGGTGCAAGAAATATTTTCAGAGTGTAAAATTTCTACAGGAAAAGTGGTTGTGTCGGGGGTGGAGAGGGAGGGTAAGTCAAGAGAGGAGCACGAACCCCCGACAGGCCCTTCTCTCTGTGGGGCGGCTTTCTGTTTACAACTCACCACTGCATTTATCTCTTCACCCCACAGTGGATCTGACAGGCAGGAGTTACTACCCCCAGTTTGCTGTCGCTGAAAGTGATGATGGCGAGAGAAAGTACCTTCCCATGCGGCTTAGCTGGGACCCGGGCCCTAGGCCAGACCCCTCTAACGCCACCCACGAAGCCCTGTGAGAAGCGGACGCTTCTCTGCTTCCCCCTCCATGTATACTCGCTCCAGCCAGGAGCTGCTCCATCTTTGGGTTCCTTCAGTTCTAGTTAAATAACCATAGCAGGCTTGTTCATCTCTTCAACAGTTATTTATCAGGTCATCCTTACCATGACGATGCACCCCTCTCTCCTCCCAGCCTCCACCTCCCACACCGAGACACTCCTCTCTCCTGCAGATTGAGCCGTTTGTGAAAAGTGACACCGGAGGGTTGTCAGGAGAGAAAATGGGGGTCACCTCTGTCGTGAGGGCAAGCAGGGTGTGGAGAGGCACACTCCCAGGGCTACTGTACCCCTCCCCCCACGCGAAGACCTCAGCACTAAAGGAATGAACGAAGGTCAACCGAGGCAGTGTGGAAAGGAAGGGGGCGGCTGGGCTGGAGGTCAAAGGCCAGGAAGCTATTGAGCCCACCTTCCTCTCTGTCCTGCAGAAGTGTCACCAAGACGTCCTAAGACTCGGCATCCTCACCTGTCAAACAAAGCTAATGATACGGCTGTGTGTTCCAAAGCTCAACTCAGAGTCTTAAAGGTCTATTTAAACATTACTCTGATGGCCTCACTTTCTGGACCTGTGAGTGTCTTGGAGACGGTTGACAGGTTCAGCCAGACCAAAGCAAGCAGAGCTGATGCCTACTGCCTATAAGGCAGGTCCTGAGGGGACTGTCTCACAAACAGAGGTCTGCCACACACAGGTGCCTGAGAAGCAGCTGGTCCAGCATCTGACAAGTTGCAGATCACGCTTAGCCTCGAGGGCGGGGGGTTCTCTCCACCCACAGGGCAGCTTGTGGGTCTGGACACTCCCTGCTTCAAGGAAGTTTACAGCTCCAGGCCCTCCCAGAACTCTCTGGTCGTACAGTCCTCACGAGACATCCGTGGCTAGCCTCGTGTTCCATTTGAGAGGAATCCACACTGTTAGCCTCCGGAGCAGCCCTGAGCGCCCCACCTGTAACTCATCACCTCTGGTGCTTTGGCTCCCACAGGGTCAACTGTCCTCCCCCTCCCCAGATGCTGTATCCATCCTGCCTGCCTTTCAGATATTCCCCATACGTATAATAGAAGCTATAAACGCCTCCCTTCTTCTTGCCTTTAAGCAGCCATAGTTCCTTTCTCAAGAAACCCATTTCTCACTAAGGCCAGCCAGCCAGCCAGCCAGCCACTCATTCAACCCCTGTGCTTAAGTCCCACTGTCTGTGACAGGTGCCTCTAGCCTGACAGGCTAGGGGAACAGCCTGTGGGCAATGCAAAAAGTACCAAAAACCAGGAATCCATACAGTGTGTGAAAGCTGTTGGTGCTTTAGGAAAAAATCTAATGAGTCAAGGAAGAGGGATCAGCGATACAGGGAAGCAGGGAAGATGGTTCCAGCTGTGCTCAGCGGGATGGGCTGTGCGCAGCTGGGCTTTCGCGCTGAATGAGAAGAGGAGTCACGCGGCCTGATGGACACTGCCAGAGCCCACTGCCGTCCGCAGGACGGTTGCGAGCCAGACGCCACGCAGAAGGTAAACGCGGCCCAGTGTGGTCGGCTTCGCCCTCTGTTTGGCAGATGGAACCCACAGCCTCTCCCCGCAGAGTGGGTGCAGAAGTCGGGGGAGGTGTCTAGCTGGCTGTGCGGTTTGGGCCTCCACAGCTGGAGGCCGGAGCAGCACCCCCCGGGCTAGGGAGAGGTTTGCGTTGCACCAGCAAGTTGGGACCTCGGTCCGGACGTGTCTCCATTCCAGTGAAAATGCCTGGAGCGCACTGGGCACCGTCTGAGTGGTCAGTGAGCGGATGGCCTTCCAAGTCTCGGCCCCAGGAGAGCCGCAGGAGAGGGAGGAGACACAGATAGGGGCCGGGCGGAGGCGGCCAGCAGAAGGCCCGGCCCCCGTGCGCAGAGCCGCTGGACGCGCGCAGAGCCGCTGGACGCCCGCCGCCACCAGAGGGCGCCGCGCGGCGGCCGGTGTGTCCTTCGCGGATTTCGCGTGGGCGTGGGGCTCAGGCGCCCGCCCCGCTCCGCCGGGGCTGCGCAGTTCTCAGCCTGTGGCTTCTCGTCCCCTGTGTGGGACAGAGCGCAGCGCGTCTGTCCGCAAGGAAGCCTCCTGCTGTGCTCCTTGTGGGGCCTGAAATTACGCTTTCCGGAGGGGAACCCAGAGCTGTAACGCCCCTGGCACCTGGCAGGCCGCGCCCCAGGCTGGGCTGGTTCGGATCCCCGCCAGCTGCCCTCCCACACACACCCGCGCCGCGCTTTTTCTTTTCAACCTGCGTTCTAAAGTATCAATACATTGCACCGTTGAAGCTGCCCAGAGTTTTGGGTTCTCGCATTCTGGATACAGAGACATACTCCCAAAATGTGGATTAAGGAGCCTGGGTTCTTTTTTCAGTTCTGGGATAGTCTCCAGCTCGTCATAGTTTAAGCCACGTGGCTTAGCACAGTGACCCCCTTCCCTGGGCGTCGACTTCCTTGCGTGCAAATGGGGGCTGAGGGGACTTTGAAATGGTTTCAGAGGGTCTTTGTGGCTGGCAAACGCTGATTCTGGGTAAGCCTCTGAGGCAGGTTTTTCATTATCTCCTCTGCACCTTGCCAGACCCTGAATTCTCGAGGCACTCTCTTCGTAAAGCTCCCGAGGCCTTGGGGGAAGCTGCTCACTAGGCTGTTGTGTGGCTCAGGTGAAAATTCCCCAGCGAGAAGGGCCCAGAGAGGGTGTCAGGGAGAGGAGAGGGACGGAGATGGTGTGAGGGGAGAACACGGTCCAGAGAGCTTCTGGGGACGCTTCAGAGGGAGAGGCCGGAAGATGGACACAGGTGGCAA